CACACTTCCAACACAAAGAATTCTGGCTGAGCTTAGTCAAATTCTTTTCCTTTTCTTTCCATACATCCTTCCGGCACGAAGAATTAAATATTTTAATCAGCCATTAATGGGGTAAACGGAATCTACCCTGATGAACCGAGTTCGAATCTTACCCAATCTTAAAACTTTTTCATAGTTTCCTCATTCACAATGCCAAGTTTCCCACTGTCATTTGAAATGTTTCCATCATGAAACAATAACAACATAGCCTCACCACAAACAGCATTGTCTGAGTTGCCACACACAAACTCAAATTTGGCTTCTTTTTTTTTTAATGACTGGAGCACAAACGTCTTTAAATTGTTTTTAATTCTTCTCTAAGTTGACTAATTTATTTTGCAACCAATTTAAACTCATTTAATATGTAACATGACATAAAGGCTTACTTACATGCATATAGGGGCCCGGCATGACCAGGTGGTTAGGGCGCTGGACTCGCAATCTGAGGGTCGCGGGTTCGAATCCCCGTCACACCAAACATGCTCGACCTTTCAGCCGTGGGGGCGTTATAATGTTACGGTCAATCCCACTATTCGTTGGTAAAATAGTAGATCAAGAGTTGGCGGTGGGTGTTGGTGATGTCTAGCTGCCTCCCCTCTAGTCTTTCTCTGCTAAACTAGGGACGGCTAGCGCAGATAGCCCTTGTGTAGCTTTGCGCGGAATTCAAAAAACAAACAAACAATACATGCATATATTCATCGAAATGATACGTACATAGAGAATATAAGATGGTGTGAAGACAAAGGAGTTATTATTATTTTTAATGGTCTTCAATTTTTCCGTTTTCATTTCAATAGAAAAGGCTGTTCTGGTTTTGTAGAAACACTGCTCTTATGTCGGCCATACTTGTTTGACAATCGATAACGACTGAAACTTTAAACATTTTTTACTGAACCGAAATTCTTTAAAAAACAACTTAAGAAAATGTAACGAATCATGCACTAAGGTTTCTAGAATTTATTGAATTCATAATTTTCCAATATAAATACCAGTTTATCACGGATAGGAACAATAACGTTTACTTCCTTCAGGAAATAGGGTTTGTGGAACAATAACGTTTACTTCCTTCAGGAAATATGGTTTGTTTTGAATTTCGCGCAAAGCTACACGAAGGCTATCTGCGCTAGCAGTCCCTAGTTTAGCAGAGAAAGACTAGAGGGGAGGCAGCTAGACATCACCAACACCCACCGCCAACTCTTGAGCTACTATTTTACCAACGAATAGTGGGACTGACCGTAACATTATAACGCCCCCACGGCTGAAAGGGCGAGCATATTTGGTGGGATGGAGATTCCAACCCGCGACCCTCAGATTGCGAGTCATGCACCCTAACCACCAGGCCATGCCAGGCCTAGGAAATAAGGAAAGAACACTCTTGTTTCTTGGGGAATATAATATGAGATAAACCAGTTTAATATGGATGGGGATGATAATGTTTACTTCCTTAAATAAGGAAAGAACACTCTTGTTTCTTGAGGCATATTATGTGAGATAAACCAGTTTAATATGGATGATAATGTTTACTTCCTTAAATAAGGAAAGAACACTCTTGTTTCTTGAGGCATATTATGTGAGATAAACCAGTTTAATATGGATGATAATGTTTACTTCCTTAAATAAGGAAAGAACACTTTTGTTTCTTGAGGCATATTATGTGAGATAAACCAGTTTAATATGGATGATAATGTTTACTTCTTTAAATAAAGAAAGAACACTCTTGTTTCTTGAGGCATATTATGTGAGATAAACCAGTTTAATATGGATGATAATGTTTACTTCCTTAAATGGGGAAGAACACTCTTGTTTCTTGAGGCATATTATGTGAGATAAACCTGTTTAATATGGATGATAATGTTTACTTCCTTAAATGGGGAAGAACACTCTTGTTTCTTGAGGCATATTATGTGAGATAAACCTGTTTAATATG